ACTTCCTTGATCCCTGAAATGATGCATTCTTTAGTGAGATCGCTGCCAAGTCTTCCAGATTCGTCTGTGCCGCATTAAACAATAAATAGAACCAATGATTTGCTTCTTACTCATTACATCTCCACCTTACTTAATGACCAATTTACGGAAGATTTCTTAGGAATTCTTTCCTTTCACTATTATATAATATAATATTATATATGATATATATATATGTATATATATAATATATAAATATATAAATATAATATATATATTTTTATATATATATATATATATATATATATATATATATATATATAAAGTCCAATCACCCTCATGTAATCCAATCAAGTCAATAACTCACCTCAAGTCAAATCAGGAAGGGTCAGGAGTTGAGTGCCCTGTTCAGTATGGAGACTGCCGTGACCGTGGCCATCCTGTTCACTCTCCTAGCGGTGGGCGGGCTCCTCCTGTCAGTCAGGCCAGTCCTGCTGCCCCCTGGACCACGCCTCTTGCCCCTCCTCGGGAACCTGCACCTGCTCATCTGGGAGGACGTCAGGAGTCTTGTGGTTCGGCTCAGGAAGGAATACGGGGACATTTTCAGGTAAGGGAAGTGGATGGACTTGTCATGTTTTGGTGGGGGGGGGGGGGGGGGTTCAAAACTTATCCGGGATGGTAGATACTGGGTCTGGATGGGTTCAAAAGGGTAAAAAGTCAACGGAAATAAAATAGTAACTAAAACAGCTCGAACGACGACGCCGACGACTACAACAACAACAACAACAACAGCAGTAGCAACATCAATAACAACAAGAACAACAACGAGAAGGAAATATAGAAAAAGATCAGAAAGAGAAGACAAAAGTCAAGAAGAAAAATTAGTACTTATAAATTTATTAATATTTAATGAAATACTTAGCTAAGAATGTTTAGTTTCATAATTTTGCATTCTGTTAACTTTTGTTTCTAATATTATACAGACAGCGTGCTGATTATAGCACAATATACATTTTGCCAAGACGTATTTTGACATTTTATTCTGAACTGATTATATCAGTAACTACTTTATCTCATCTTGTCTTGTCTCTCAACTCATCTTTTCAAAAACAAACCTATCTTAAATTTACTCAAAGTCACGTCGTGCATGTAGGTGGCTGACTGCGCTCTTATGCTTTTTTTCATTCTTTCCCATCAAACGTTTATCTTTCTTATCTCTCCTCTTTCTTTTTTCTGTGTTTGCTACTGTCATTTAACACTTCTAATTTTCGAAACATTTTAAAATGATGTGATAGTGTTAGAAGTGCCGAAAAAGTCTTACTAAACAGGTTGTGTATCCTTCTCCTCAGCGTATATTTTGGCTGGCGTCCAGTGGTGGTCGTAGCAGGTCTGAAGCTCATCAAAGAGACCTTCGTCAAGAACGCGGAGGTCTTTTCAGAACGACCACGGGGTCTGGGTTACGAGCCCTTCACAAGAGGACGAGGTGATAATTATCTTAAAAGTCACCTTTAGTCCTAAATTATAGATCATCATCTTTGATATATATATATAATATATATGAAGACCACTGAAAAAACAGGCATAGTCACAAACTGGAAATTGTGAGGGTGTCAATTTTTAAAGCTTGTGGATTCATAAATTCATATTCAAAAAAGCTAAGTTTCCCTGATCTTTCCCTGTTACCCATTTGTTTAGGTTCCCTAAGTATGTTGTTCTGGGCCTACCCCTGCCTCGTTTGCCCCCAAGTTTGCCAGTGAGACCAGACCAGACCATCAATGATTTATTTATAGAGGCACCAGCCACCCATGTCCAGGTGCTGTTTTAGCCTAAAAACAGCTGCCTACTGTAAGTTACTCGGGGTCTGAATTCGAGTTCTGTTCTTCTATGGACCCAAACTTCTTATAATTTGCGGCCTGTTTCAAAATTGACCGTTTCCTTGAAACATCAGACCTGCCACTTTGCCAGTGAGAGCTAGATATTCAAGACCATTATGTCTATGCATGTGTCCCAAAAACTGCATTTGCCGTTTTACTGATTGTTTTCATCATTGAGCGTCCCACGTGGGCTTCATCAAGCACTACCTCATTTGATTTCTTTTCCTTCCACGATACTCTTAGCAGTCTCCTAAGAAACAACATTTCTGTTGCTTCAGTTTTATTTTCACTGTCTTTAGAGATTGTCCAGCATTCACAGCCATGTAGAAGCGTTGACCAAACATAGCATTTCAGAACTTTCATTTTGGTGTTCATTGAGATGTTTCTATTTTTCAGGACTGGGCTCATTTTATTGAAACTAGCCTTAGACATTGTAATTCTCCGTTAAATTTCTGTGGAACATTTGAAATCAGATGTTATCATATATCCTAGATATTTAAACTGTTGGTTTTGTTTGATTTTTACACCTCTGCTAATGAGATTACAACTAGGATTTGCTGTTCTTTTTATATTACCATGCATTCTGTTTTCTTTACATACAACACTAATCCTTTACGTTCACTTTTTGTTACAACAGTACATATATA